GCCACTTGTGTCTGCCACCCAAGACTACAACGAAACCACCCATTTACACAAACCTATGAGAAACTTGACCCATAGTCACCTCTGCTGATAAATTAACTCTTTTGTATTTTTCTGTGCTATTGATAAGCGGAAGTTCGAGCAAGACTTACAGCTGTGGAGCTGGACGTCGGCCGTATGGTCCAAATCTGATGGGCAAGAAAGTGCCAGAGCGGCGGCGGCGTAGGGGGATGGGGGAGGAGGGGGGGGGGCGTGAACAGAGACGCATGAGTCAACACAAGAGTCAAGGGGAGGACAAGAACGAAATCGATCCACTTCTTCCAGTTACACACAAAGGTGCGGTGAAACACGCACCGTATATGAATCAAAACTGAGCACCTCGCTGCCCGTGCAGTCAGGCAGCAGGCGACTACATGGGTTGGGCGAGAGGTGGTAAATGTCGCTTTTTGGTGATGAGAAGCAAGAGTGAGAGAGGTATTCCCGGGGAAGAATATTGCCCCCCGTCATGAAGGGCGGGCTATCTGTTTCCGCGCAAGCGGCCGGACGGGCAGTAAGAACAAGCACCAGGTAGATGTGTGGATCGAGGGAATCGGTCCCGACCTACGTTTCGGAGCTTTTTCGCTCTTTGAAGGGCACGTCCACAGATATTTTCCACCAAACAAGGGGATAGAATCTCCACAGCTTCGTGCTTGTACAAAGCAAGGCGATAGAGTTGCACATGGAGAGAAAGAAGGGAACAAAATCTGTTCGGGAAAAGTGTAAGCCAATGTGCGCGGCGGCGAACACTTGTTTCGTCCCGTATCTCCTTGGGGGGAGGTGCAAGCCGCCAGTGTGGAGGGAGGGGGGCGGGGGGGAGAGCAGCAGCGCGACGAAGCACTTTTGTGGCAAGAAGCCCGAAAGACAATCGGCTACAGGACGTTGGGCCGCTTCTCCGAAACACGTTACGGGTTTTCGCAAGACAGAGGGGGCGTTCTTCCAAAACGTATTCTACATAAATGCTCACACTCGAAGTTGGCCCCCTCCGCGCCCCCGTCCGCGCCGGCACCGCCCTCCAGCCCTCCCGAAAACCGCGGAATTTTCGACCTCGCGTCCACCTCCGCCGCCACGGCGGCGTGCCGCGCTGCTACGGCCGCCGCCTTGTCCCCCCCCCCCCCCCCACTGTCTGCTGCGGATCCCCTTCCCTCCGCCACCCGATCATCTTCCCTCCCACGGCCGTCATCACGGACAACACCCCCGTCGACGGGAGTGGCGCCGCCGGTGGGTTTTGCTAGAGAACCAGCGTTACCGCCGCCGCTGACGAGAGACGAAGCGTTGCCACGGCATGGGTCGTGCTGGTCTCGCCCTCCGCTCTCCTCGGCCCCACACCTGGAGGTCCGTTGAGGTTGTTGGTTGCTGTGGCCGCCTTCGACGACGTCGGCAACCGGAACCAAGCCTGCAGCTCCCGTTCCGGCCACTGCTGCCGCGGCCGGTCCCGATGCTGGTGTTGCTCCTGCTACCGCCGCCAGCTTTGGTGGTGCTGGTGGCGTCGCTGAAGCAACCTTCTCCTCCCGCTGCCGCTGCTGGTCTGGCGGGGGAGGCTGAGGCGGAGTATTCCCGACTGCGACAGTTCGCCATCCGCCACGAAATTCAAACGGAAAATGATCGGAACAATTGAGGGGGGAGATGGTGGAATGTGACAACACTCTGTAGCAGAGTTCAGCGCAGCCCCATCACACCAACATCAACAGCGGCGGCAACAGAAGTAGGGGGATACACACCCGTATAAATCGGAGATTGACTCTCGTGGTATTTAATATGCGACACCCCCCAAGCAATCTCTCGCGATATGGCAGGATCAGCGAAGGTTGGCGTGGTTACAAGCCCAGCAGGGACAGCCAGCATGTTCCAAGCCGATACATAATTCCGCAAATATATACCATGCCGTCGCGCACGTGTGTCTCGGCGTTGCGAGCGTGAGGATCAAAGGGTTGTTCACACCTGCCGGAGTGGCACTAGCAGCCGCGGCCGACCGGCGCTTTCTTGCTCTCTGTGGAAGAGCTTCCCATTGGCTGCTGGACATGATGCTTCGTGACAGTGCCCCCCCCCCCCCCCCCCCAC